AATTACGATTATTTTTAAAAGTCTTCTTTGGGAAGGCAGTTTTCGTATAGAAAAGGGTCTTCTTTGGGAAGATAGTTTTCGCATAGAAAAGTGTCTTCTTTGGGAAGACAGTTTTCGTATAGAAAAATGTCTTCTTTGGGAAGACAGTTTTCATATAGAAAAGTGTCTTCTTTGGGAAGACAGTTTTCGTATAGAAAAGTGTCTTCTTTGGGAAGACAGTTTTCGTATAGAAAAGTGTCTTCTTTGAGAAGACAGTTTTCGTATAGAAAAGTGTCTTTTTTGGGAATACAGTTTTCGTATAGAAAAGTGTCTTCTTTGGGAAGACAGTTTTCGTATAGAAAAGTGTCTTCTTTGGGAAGACAGTTTTCGTATAGAAAAGTGTCTTCTTTGGGAAGACAGTTTTCGTATAGAAAAGTGTCTTCTTTGGGAAGACAGTTTTCGTATAGAAAAGTGTCTTCTTTGGGAAGACAGTTTTCGTATAGAAAAGTGTCTTCTTTGGGAGGACAGTTTTCGTATAGAAAAGTGGCTTCTTTTTGTTTAGAAAATGAAATCTTTAATATTGTTTAAGAAACATTGTGTATGAACTCATAACATCAGTTATTTCCATATAAATCCTGTTTTGAAAAAATTGGATTTAAATATTTTATCAGACAAAAGCAACAGGATGAGATATTTAAAGATAAAACTAAAAAATTAATTTTAAAATAAAACCAGGGAGTAGGAAACAAAACATTTGAAGACAAGTGTCAATTAATTTAAAAAAAGGATTTAAAAGAATTTAAATAGAAAAAATACAGGATTTAGAATATATAACCATAAAAAACATATTTATATGGATAAAATATATTTAAATTAAATTCTGTTTTAAATATTTTTAAAGCCATCACTTTGAAAATTTTTGTTTAAGAACCTTAATATTTCAACCCTCTTTTTATTTGTTTAAAGGTTTGTTTGCCAGTAAAACAAAGACATAAGATTAATATTGAGATTATTTGAAAATATTATTAGCCCTTCAGTCGTCGCTGGGTAAATACCCATTATCATCATCATTATTTATGACAACAAGCTATACATACGTACATTTATTCATATGAATATCTGTATGATGCTGCTGCTGATGATTATAATAATGATGATGCCGATGACTTAATATTAAAATCATGTCATGTCGAGGTGTTAGAGCTGCTGCTTGTCTGTCTGTGTATTTATTTACTTAGTCACACATTTACATTTACTTTCTCCTTGACATTTACTTATAGCATTTGTAAAATTCTTTTTTTTATATTTTTTCTATACATGTGTATATATTTTCCATTCAGAATAGCATTTAAAGTGTGTCAACAACAAAATAAACATTAAAAAAAACATGAGATTTGAGTCAGAAAAAAAATTAAAACATAAACCTTAAATATTTTGTATTATTTTTTTTTGTCAGTGTTAATGTCTCAATAATAAAGACATTAACATAGATTTAATAGGATTTCTTGGGGGTGTTGTTGTCAAGGTTTGTTTTTGTTTTAAATACCCTACAGTTGGTGATCTAAAGAAAAGTGTCTTTTCCACAATGAAAATAACCTTGGATAGACAGCGTTCTCAAGAAAACAGTCCTAACAAAACAATATTCCAAAGAAAATGGACCTGGCAAGACAGTTTTCTGTAGAAAAATGTCTTCCTGAAAAAGACAGTTTTCGTATAGAAAAGTGTCTTCTTATATAAGACAGTTTTCGGATAGAAAAGTGTCTTCTTATAGAAGACAGTTTTCGTATAGAAAAGTATCTTCTTATAGGAGACAGTTTTCGTATAGAAAAGTGTCTTCTTATAGAAGACAGTTTTCCTATAGAAAAGTGTCTTCTTCTAGAAGACAGTTTTCGTATAGAAAAGTGTTTTCTTATAGAAGACAGTTTTCCTATAGAAAAGTGTCATCTTATAGAAGACAGTTTTCGTATAGAAAAGTGTCTTCTTATAGAAGACAGTTTTCGTATAGAAAAGTGTCTTCTTATAGAAGACAGTGTTTGTATAGAAAAGTGTCTTCTTATAGAAGACAGTGTTCGTATAAAAAAGTGTCTTCTTATAGAAGAAAGTTTTGGTATAGAAAAGTGTCTTCTTAGAGACGGTGTTTTCGTATAGAAAAGTGTCTTCTTAGAGACGGCTGTTTTCGTATAGAAAAGTGTCTTCTCATAGAAGACAGTTTTTGTATAGAAAAGTGTCTTCTTATAGAAGACAGTTTTCACCTAGAAAAGTGTCTTCTTATAGAAGACAGTTTTCACCTAGAAAAGTGTGTTCTTATAGAAAACGGTTTTCGTCTTCTTATATAAGACAGTTTTCGTAGAGAAAAGTTTCTTCTTATAGAAGACAGCTTTCGTATAGAAAAGTTTTAGAAGACAGTTTTCGTATAGAAAAGTGTCTTCTTTTAGAAGACAGTTTTCGTATAGAAAAGTGTCTTCTTTTAGAAGACAGTTTTCGTATAGAAAAGTGTCTTCTTTTAGAAGACAGTTTTCGTATAGAAAAGTGTCTTCTTTTAGAAGACAGTTTTCGTATAGAAAAGTGTCTTCTTTTAGAAGACAGTTTTCGTATAGAAAAGTGTCTTCTTTTAGAAGACAGTTTTCGTATAGAAAAGTGTCTTCTTTTAGAAGACAGTTTTCGTATAGAAAAGTGTCTTCTTTTAGAAGACAGTTTTCGTATAGAAAAGTGTCTTCTTTTAGAAGACAGTTTTCGTATAGAAAAGTGTCTTCTTTTAGAAGACAGTTTTCGTATAGAAAAGTGTCTTCTTTTAGAAGACAGTTTTCGTATAGAAAAGTGTCTTCTTTTAGAAGACAGTTTTCGTATAGAAAAGTGTCTTCTTTTAGAAGACAGTTTTCGTATAGAAAAGTGTCTTCTTTTAGAAGACAGTTTTCGTATAGAAAAGTGTCTTCTTTTAGAAGACAGTTTTCGTATAGAAAAGTGTCTTCTTTTAGAAGACAGTTTTCGTATAGAAAAGTGTCTTCTTTTAGAAGACAGTTTTCGTATAGAAAAGTGTCTTCTTTTAGAAGACAGTTTTCGTATAGAAAAGTGTCTTCTTTTAGAAGACAGCTTTCGTATAGAAAAGTGTCTTCTTTTAGAAGACAGCTTTCGTATAGAAAAGTGTCTTCTTTTAGAAGACAGCTTTCGTATAGAAAAGTGTCTTCTTTTAGAAGACAGCTTTCGTATAGAAAAGTGTCTTCCTTCAGCAGACAGTATTCCTGTAGAAGACAGTTTTCGTATAGAAAAGTGTCTGTCTTTCCGTTGCGAGTGTAGGGTATTTAAAATTTATTTATTTAACATTTTTATAAACCAATTGTATTCATATTTAAAATATTGAAACGAACTGAAAGAAAAGAAAACAATATTTTTAGCATAATTTTTATACACATATGCTTCCCCTCCCGAAACCCCAAATTTTAACACAGACAGACATAAAAAAAATCCTGGTATTTTCTAGCTGATATAATTTTTTCATGTTCTTTCTTTACAACTAAATATTTTGTGTATTTTACACATTTATACAATTTTTGCTTATTTTTATAAATATTTTCTTTAACTATAATTTAGAGTGTATATGGTAGATTTCTTCACAGATTTTGCGGTGTGTTTATATGATTTTCAATTTTTTTTATATTTTGTATATATTGTGTTATTCTATTGTTATTTTTATGCTCTCTTACCCAATACCTTAAACCGTTTTAAGGGCTGTAGATTTTGTGAAAGGAAGAGCTAAATAAAAATATATTTTATTTCTATATATTTAACACTAATGCTAAGAAGGCATCATACACATACAAATGTTTAAATTATTATATTTTGTGTTGTTTACTTAAACCGTTTTTCTTTTCTATGTTTTTTTTTTTATTTAAGATGAGTTCTAGCCAAAAAAAAAAAATTACATAAAATACAAGACTTTACAGAGCATACGATTTTCAAATAGAAAGAAGAATACCGGTTATGCTTGACTTTTTTTTGTTACATTTTTTCTTTAACAAACGGAAGTTGTTAGATCTTTAGCACAGTTACACAAACACATACTCAATTTTACACACAATATTTTACTTCTATATACAGCTACATACAAAGACATACAAAGTTTTAACTACTAGACTGCTAGATACGTTTATATATAAAAGATAAGTTTGTTGTTGTTGCAAAACGTTTTTGGCATTTTCTTTAAGTTTAAGTCAATGATTTGTTTTGCAGTTTTTTTCTTCATATTTTTCTCATCATCATCAGTTTCAGTCGTAGGTTAATAACCCAGCAAACATAAAGGTAATCAATAGAAATTTATACTGAAAAGCTTTGGTTTTAACAAAGTTTGAGAAAAGCTTTTCTTAAACTTGATTGAAAATTTCAGTTTTCGCATATAAAAGTGTCTTCTTGTAGAAGAAAGGGTCTTCCTTTAAGCTATAAAAAAGCTTTTTCTTCTTTTCGGAGTATAATTCCAAATCAATTCAAACCAAAATGTGAAGCTTTAGAAATTTTTGAGGAAACCACTTTCTTTTCAAAATGTTCTTTAATTGATAAAGCTTTTTAGTTAGTTGAGGTTTTAAAGCTTAAGAAAGTTTTAGTTATTAAACAAAGTTTACGTTTTATTGAAAAAGCTTTCATCCAACTTTGGCTATAATTTTCAGTTTAAGTTAAAAATTTAATAATTCTGTACAAAATTTAGAATTTTTATGTAATTCATTAAATAAACTTTAAGAAAACTTACCCATTTAGTTAATAAAGCTTTCATGCTTTTAAGTTTAATCTCTCTATAAGTTTGCTGGTTTAATTTATATGTATGTAGCTGCTAGCAATATGTGTTTAACTATTAAGCTATTACCCCCATAAATACGTACGAGTATGTGGCAGAAAACTGTCATTTTTTTAGCGAGAATGGAAGGGAAATACAAAAGCAAAAACGGGAATTTAAGGGAGCAAACATAAAAATAGGGAAATAGTAGCTGCTACTTTTTTCACTCTTTATGGCACAAGCTTTTTAAATCCCGCACCTTCTTGGCCAAGTTTGAGCTCTTCATAAATTGTGGGATTTATTTCGTTGCATTGTGTATGAGCATCGATGCCATCCAGGTTTGAGGTTTTAACTGTTGTTCCTTTAGGTTGGTATTGTGCTGATGCTGTTGTCGTTGTTGAATTGTTCCCCACTTTTGATGTCATAGAGGGTCTTAATGTCGTTGTGGCTGGCAGAGCCGCTGAAGACACTGTCGTTGTGGCATGTGTTGAGGCAGGCGTTCTTGTTGTGAAATTTCCACCATTCATATTGGTTGTATGCGTTAAGGCAGATGTCACAGTAGGTAACTAACCGGAAGTTTATTAAGTTTTATAAACAAACACACACAGACCAACACATATATAAAGGAGACAGAGAATAATACACAAGTTATTACCAACACCATAACGCATTACAGCCCAGCCAAAAATAAAATACAAAAACACATACACAACCATTCCAAAGACATGTTTCAAATGATTGCACAGGAAGTAAGTATGGCAAAAAGTAGAATAAGAAAAAATAAACAAAAATACAACAATGAAAATTATGTTATACTCATCGTTATAAAATAAGAACATCAATATAGTTTTGTTAAGCGTTTAATAGACAGGAAAAAATCTATAGCAATAATAAAAGAAAGCTCTGACTTTATTGCTAAAGGAATGGTTACTAGGACAGTTATTTTTGCCTTTATAATAAAACAGTGATTTAAGATTTTTGGGTACTAAATTTAAAGTCATTTAAGTACTTTAGAACAAAGGTTTTTGTTTTCGTATAGAAAAGTGTCTTCTTATAGAAGACAGTTTTCGTATAGAAAATTGCCTTCTTATAGTAGGCAGTTTTCGTATAGAAAAGTGCCTTCTTATAGAAGACAGTTTTCGTATAGAAAAGTGTCTTCTTATAGAAGACAGTTTTCGTATAGAAAAGTGTCTTCTTATAGAAGACAGTTTTCGTATAGAAAAGTGTCTTCTTATAGAAGACAGTTTTCGTATAGAAAAGTGTCTTCTTATAGAAGACAGTTTTCGTATAGAAAAGTGTCTTCTTATAGAAGACAGTTTTCGTATAGAAAAGTGTCTTCTTATAGAAGACAGTTTTCGTATAGAAAAGTGTCTTCTTATAGAAGACAGTTTTCGTATAGAAAAGTGTCTTCTTATAGAAGACAGTTTTCGTATAGAAAAGTGTCTTCTTATAGAAGACAGTTTTCGTATAGAAAAGTGTCTTCTTATAGAAGACAGTTTTCGTATAGAAAAGTGTCTTCTTATAGAAGACAGTTTTCGTATAGAAAAGTGTTTTCTTATAGAAGACAGTTTTCGTATAGAAAAGTGTCTTCTTATAGAAGACAGTTTTCGTATAGAAAAGTGTCTTCTTATAGAAGACAGTTTTCGTATAGAAAAGTGTCTTCTTATAGAAGACAGTTTTCGTATAGAAAAGTGTCTTCTTATAGAAGACAGTTTTCGTATAGAAAAGTGTCTTCTTATAGAAGACAGTTTTCGTATAGAAAAGTGTCTTCTTATAGAAGACAGTTTTCGTATAGAAAAGTGTCTTCTTATAGAAGACAGTTTTCGTATAGAAAAGTGTCTTCTTATAGAAGACAGTTTTCGTATAGAAAAGTGTCTTCTTATAGAAGACAGTTTTCGTATAGAAAAGTGTCTTCTTATAGAAGTCCGTTTTCGTATAGAAAAATATCTTCTTATAGAAGACAGTTTTCGTATAGAAAAGTGTCTTCTTATGGAAGAAAGTTTTCGTATAGAAAAGTGTCTTCTTATAGAAGCAAGTTTTCGTATAGAAAAGTGTCTTCTTATAGAAGACAGTTTTCGTATAAAAAGGTGTCTTCTTATAGAAGGTAGTTTTCGTATAGAAAAGTGTCTTCTTATAGAAGACAGTTTTCGTATAGAAAAGTGTCTTCTTATAGAAGACAGTTTTCGTATAGAAAAGTGTCTTCTTATAGAAGACAGTTTTCGTATAGAAAAGTGTCTTCTTATAGAAGACAGTTTTCGTATAGAAAAGTGTCTTCTTATAGAAGACAGTTTTCGTATAGAAAAGTGTCTTCTTATAGAAGACAGTTTTCGTATAGAAAAGTGTCTTCTTATAGAAGACAGTTTTCGTATAGAAAAGTGTCTTCTTATAGAAGACAGTTTTCGTATAGAAAAGTGTCTTCTTATAGAAGACAGTTTTCGTATAGAAAAGTGTCTTCTTATAGAAGACAGTTTTCGTATAGAAAAGTGTCTTCTTATAGAAGACAGTTTTCGTATAGAAAAGTGTCTTCTTATAGAAGACAGTTTTCGTATAGAAAAGTGTCTTCTTATAGAAGACAGTTTTCGTATAGAAAAGTGTCTTCTTATAGAAGACAGTTTTCGTATAGAACAGTGTCTTCTAATAGAAGACAGTTTTCGTATAGAACAGTGTCTTCTAATAGAAGACAGTTTTCGTATAGAACAGTGTATTCTAATAGAAGACAGTTTTCGTATAGAACAGTGTCTTCTAATAGAAGACAGTTTTCGTATAGAAGAGTGTCTTCTAATAGAAGACAGTTTTCGTATAGAAAAGTGTCTTCTTATAGAAGACAGTTTTCGTAAAGAAAAGTGTCTTCTTATAGAAGACAGTTTTCGTATAAAAAAGTGTCTTCTTATAGAATACAGTTTTCGTATAGAAAAGTGTCTTCTTACAGAAGACAGTTTTAGTATAGAAAAATGTCTTCTAATAGGAGACAGTTTTCGTATAGAAAAGTGTCTTCTTATAGAAGACAGTTTTCGTATAGAAAAGTGTCTTTTATAGAAGACAGTTTTCGTATAGAAAAGTGTCTTCTTATAGAAGACAGTTTTCGTATAGAACAGTGACTTCTTATAGAAGACAGTTTTCGTATAGAACAGTGTCTTCTTATAGAAGACAGTTTTCGTATAGAACAGTGTCTTCTTATAGAATACAGTTTTCGTGTAGAACAGTGTCTTCTTATAGAAGACAATTTTCGTATAGAACAGTGTCTTCTTATAGAAGACAGTTTTAGTTTAGAAAAGTGTTTTCTTATAGAAGACAGTTTTCGTATAAAAAAGTGTTTTCTTATAGAAGACAGTTTTCGTATAGAAAAGTGTTTTCTTATAGAAGACAGTTTTCGTATAGAAAGGTGTCTTCTTATAGAAGACGGTTTTCGTATAGAAAAGTGTCTTCTTGGGAAAGGACAGTTTTCCTATAGAAAAGTGTCTTCCTTAAGAAGACAGTTTTGGTACAGAAAAATTTCTCATTTAGAAGATAATTTAAGCTTTTAGTAACTTTTTTCTTGAACCACTGTTTTAACTTGTTTCCTTAAAGATTTTTAAATAATTCTATTAAATTAAATGCTTTGTTTATATTTGCATTTTTACGCTCTTAAATATATAGTTTAATATTCCAAACTTACCTGCACTTGTTCTAAACCTCTTGTATATGTGGGATTTTCAAATGCCACCCCTGTGGCTGCCTTACCATTTGCTCTATGGCGTCTATAGAATATAATGGCGGCAGCTGCTAGTAAAACAGCTAAAATACTTGCAACAATACCGCTTATCGTACCCACCGCATGTGAATACGTTGTTGTCGCCGATGTAACATGATGTTCGCCAAGTGTGAATTTTATCGGTTCAGTTAAAACACTGGCACCTAAACGAGGGAATTATAAAAAGAAAAAGGAAAAACACATTTTAGAGAAAAGTAAATAAAAACAAAAATAAACATAAAAAAGCGTAAGGTAGAGAATGTGTTCCTTTTTCGGGAGTTCAACTTACCATACGAATTGCCAGCTTTAACAACCAACTCATATAAGACATCCTTTTTGAGACCATCTATATTTACACTGGTTTCCTTGACATCAATGCGTCTTACCTCACTGCTGCTTATGCCCGTTGTGGTATTGTTGTTACCAGCCATTTGCATGCTTGTTGCATTATTGTTATTGTTAAGCATAATGTTGGAGGGTGCTGCTGAGGAGGCTTCTAAAGGACCTCCTGCTGCTAAAGCACCGCCAGTCATTGTTTCACTTTGTGCTATTTCGTTGCCGATTATGGCAGCTTCATGGTAAAATATTCGATAACCATCTACAACATTGGGATTTTTGGTGGGTGGATCCCATCTGTAAAGTAAATAAAAAAAAAAATACCGGAAAAAAGAGGAAACAGTTAAGATTTGTATGTAAATGTAAAGCTTTTATATGATATTACACACACACACACTTTTACGACTAGATTCAGTTTTTATGTGTAAAATACTCTTTAGTTACTCATTGACTTATACGTACACACATATTTTCTAGCTCCCAAAGTGTTTTTCGTTTAACAATGTTCTCTTGCTTGAGTGCTTGTGGTTTTAGTTGCTTTTTTGAGAGTTATTGTTGTTGTTTTTGTTGCCTTCTTTGGGTTGCCAGTTAAAATTTTCTCAAGGGTATATTGTTGGAAATATTGCTGGTATGCAAGGACCACTAATGTGTGTAAGTGTTAACAGCTTCTTCACACATCCCTACACACACACACACACCCATTTTCGTCATCACTCTTATACTTTTCCTAGTTAGTTCTAAACTATAAAGTTTTTCCTTGGCATTTAAAGGCAAAATGATAGTTTAGAAAACAACAAATTTTCTTATAACGGAAAATAGTCTACAAAAAAACTTCAGAGAGATACAGTCTTTAAACATTGTTTTACTACAATGTAAACGGGTCAACAACAACAACAACTACTTTTTAAGGACTCGGTTTTTGTTCAAGTGTTTGAGTCTATGAATATTCATGGTTATTTAATTATTATTTTGTATTCGTATAAAAGCCATTCAGGCTTATAAAAAGGAAAGAAACCACATACACACACTAAAAGATTTCATTTCGATTTTTAACCTCTATATACAATTTCCGTCTTATCTTAACGTTTCCGTTTAAGCAAAAAAGAAAATAAAGTCTCTTTTGTTTTTCTAGAACGTGTTCAGGAAATTCAAATGAACATAAAGTAACTTTTTGGCAACAAATAGAAAAAGCAAAAGTGATAAGATTTTGTGGTAAAAATTAATGAAAAAATATTAAAAAAATTATAAATTTTGTAATGAAACTATAAGGCATTTAAGAAACCAGAACAATGATAACAAAATGTTAAGCAAAAGTAACATATTGACAAATAGTAATATTTTTACTACTTTCTTAAAATATTATTTTTGTAAAATTTAATAATTTGAAGAATGTTTAAACAATAAAAAGCATTTTTAAGGCAAAATGACTAATTTGTTAAAAAGTAGTATTTTTACTACTTTTTTAAAATATAATTTTTTATTAAATTTTAACAATTTGAAGAAACTTTTAACCATTAAAGCAATTTTTAGTCAAAATTACTAATTTTTCAAAAAGTAGTATTTTTACTACCTTTTATACATATAATTTTTTATTTAATTTTAACAATTTAAAGAAACTTTTAACTATTAAAAGTAATGTTTATGCAGAATAACAAATTTTTCAAAAAGTAGTATTTTTACTACTTTTTTTAATTTAAATTAAATTCTAACAACTTGAAAAAACCTTTAATAATTACAAGCAATTTTTACGCAAAAAATAAAAATTTTTCAAAAAGTAGTATTTTTACAACTTTTTTAACTAAGGAAATCTTTATTAAATTTTAAAGAATTTTATAAACTTAACTTTTATGATAAAGTTTCCTAAATTCAATACAAATTTCAAGCAAAATTAAAAAAATTTCAAAAAGTAGTATTTTTACTACATTTTTAAAATATGAATTTTTATCAGATTTTGATGATTAGAATAAACTTTTAAACAATAAAAGTAATTTTTAAACAAAATTACAAATTCAGAAAGTAGTATTTTTATTACATTTTTAAAAATTTTAAGAAACTTTTGGTCGTAAACTTAAAAAAATATTTAAGATTGTCAATTTCATACTTATTTATGAAATAGAACATAGATTTCAAAAGAAACTCATATCTTCGTTGATTTGTACATTTGAAAAGTAGTAGTATTTTATACTACTTTTTAAAAATGGTATAAACTTTTTTTTTAATTTTAAAGTATATAATTTGTATAATCTAAGAAAGTGTTTAAATAATCCAAATTTTAGAAATTAGTAAATAGTAGTATTTTTAATACCTTTTTGAAAATCACTAAAAACTTATGATTTTTAATTTATTTAATAAAGAAAACATTTTTATGGAGAAAACCGAAAAAATTTGATTTTTTACATTTAAACAGAATCTTTTTGATGAATTATGATTTTTTTGTGAGAATACTACATTTTGAAATAGTAGTATTTCTACTACTTTTTTAAAAAATCTCTAAATTATGAAATTGTTTCTGTAAATTTAATTATAAATACGTTTTTGCGAAATAAAACGACTTTTTAAATAGTAGTATTTCTACTACTTTTTTCAAAATCGTTAAAAATATGGAATTTTTTATATTTAATAAAGATTTTTTGCAGAAAAAATTACGTAGCATAAATTTACTTTTTTGGAGTTATTGTATTTGTACTACTTTTTCTTAAAATTTCTAAAAAAGTAGTCAAAATTATCACTACTTTTATTAAAATAATTAAAATTTTCTTCTTCACTCACCTTATCACTACCTCACTATCCGATATCACGCTAACAGCTATATTTTCCGGTGGTCCCGGCAAACGATCACGATATGACTCGAAACAACCCACTATAGTTCTAGCATATTGTAAACTACAAATCTCTTTCGAACGTACAGCCTCTCCTCGACACCAATTCAAACATTTGCGCGGTACATGCGAGTCCGCACAGCAAGTTCGATGATCTGAACCATCTGCAGCACATTTCATAAGTTTATCAAATTCTGTTATACATTCCGGTTTATCGGCTATGGCATCTATATCCACATAATAACTACAGGCACTGCGACAGGCCATTGTGACATTCATATCGGCACAACATTGGGTTACGTTATGATTGAGGGCAGGTGTGTTGCGTATACGCACCGAAACGGGTATAGTGGCTGAACCGAAGGGGTTCTCGGCATGACAGAAATAGTCTCCTACATCGGAGGCTTGCAGTTTATTGATACGTAAAGCCATGGTATAGAAAGTGGGACGAGATTCATTGGTACGCATGGCTATATCATAATTACCACCTTGTATGACCGGTATACGGCCATCATGATCACGCCAGAATATTGTCTTGGGGGCAGGTTTAGAATCTACCATACAGCGCAGTTCAACCTCATCACCTACTGCGGCTACAGTAATGCCGGCCGCCTGGATTTTGGGAGGATCTAAGGAAATATTAGAAAAATTATAAAGTAAAACTTTTTTTGAATTTCCTGATATTTCAAAAGAACTTACAGCATATATTAACTCTTCTGGTGGCCTGCATGGGTACACCATAACCATTGTCAGCATAACAGGAAACATGTTCCATATCTGCGGTGACATTATGTATAACGGTGACCATATGTCTGGAGGTATCTTGACGCACTAAATGACCACCCACATATAAAGAAATAGTGGGAGCTGGATTACCTAAAGCCAAGCATAAAATAGTCATAGAACCTCCTTCGGGTATATTGTCGGCGGGATGCACAGTGGGTGGCTGTAAGAAAATGGAAAAATCAAAAGTTTTTCTTCTTTATTTATTAAGAGTAAAACTTACATCCACAAATGCTGGTAGAGCTGGATCAGTCCAGGCCACTAAAGTTTCCGAGGGTAAGGAGGTGGCCTTTTCACCCACTGCTTCAACATAGAGTATATGCTGGGAACTGGGCTTCAAATTGTTCATACGCAACCATGCTACCTTAGTTTCGATTTTATTGAATTTATCGGATTTCATGGGCTTGTGATAGACTCTGGGTGGAACAAAAAATCAAACATTTTATAAAAGAAATATTTTTGTAAGAAAATTACTACTTTTTAAATAGTAGTACTATTTTAAAATTACTAAAAACTAGTGATTTTGTATTATTTTCAATTAAATATTGAATTTATGGTAGAAAAAAACGTTTCTAAAAATAGTAGTATTTCTACTACTATTTTCAAAAATGTTGAAAAACTTGTTTTTTGTGATATTTTCCCCAAATAAATGAAAATTTTTGTAAAAAACTACTTTTTCCAAAAGTACTTTTGCCACCAGGTTTTCATAAATCGTATAAAAGTCATATTTCTGCTACTTTTTTTCAAAAACTCTATAAAATGGTAATTTGAAAAAAATGCTTTCTTAAAACTTTTTCTTACTTAAAGCTTGTTTTACTATTTTCCACCATAATTGTAGTAAGTTTTTGTTAAAAAGTAGTATTTCTACTACTATTTTCAAAAAAGGTGGAAACCTTATTTTTGTGACATTTTCACCAAATAAAGAAAAAAAAATTAGTAGAAACTACTTTTTCAAAATGTAGTTTTTCTACTACTTTTTTATGAATAAAGAATTATAGCTAGAAAAACATAAATTTTCCAATAGTAGTATTTCTACTACCAACAAAATCAAATTTTTGGAAAAAAATACTTATTTGCTTTAAAATCTTTTTTAACTTAGAACATTTTTGTTTTACTTTTTCCAGCATAATAGTAAGCTTTTGTTAAAAAGTATTTTTTGAAAGATAGTATGTCTACTACTATTTTCAAAAAGGTTAAAAACCTTAATTTTGATTATAATTTCACCAAACAAAAATAATTGTAGTAAAAAACTAATTCTTCAAAAAAGTACTTTTTCTACTCCTTTTTCAAACAGTAGTTTTTCTGTTGTTAAAAACCTTGGTTATCTTATTTTCACTTCATAAATACAAATTTTGAGTAAAAAACTAGTTTTTCAAAAAGTACTTTTTCTACTACTTTTTCATAAATCATCTAAAAGTCATATTTTCTTAATCATTTAATTTAAAAAAGAATTTTTACTATAAAAATACAGATTTTCAATAGTAGTGTTTCTACTACTTTTTTTCAAAAACCTCATAATATGTTATTATTTTGAAAAAATACAGTTTTAACTTCATATTTTAGTACCTCCTCCTACTCCCTTTTACTACAATTTCAAGTTAATATTAATTACATTTTTTCCCTTTAAATTGATTGTCCAATTAAAAATTTCATTGTATTCATTTCACTTCATATTTTTCTACCAACAAACTCATCAATATCCAACAACAACAACAACTACACTTTGACACAATCATTTGAACTTTAGTAATTAACAGTTTGACTTGTATTTAAACATACACCATGGACACATACATACATTAAAAAACAGTACTCGGAAAAAATGTTTATCAAATTACTCAATTCAAAAGTTCAGCAACTCCTCCGCATACCTAAAGGACATAAACATTCAACAGAAATTTCAACATTTATGCTCTGGGGCATCGTTCAACAGAAGTAACACTTAACTACAACTGATGTTGGAAAAAATAAATAAACAAAACCATGACAACAAAATCTTACTCCTACCCAGAAACGGTCAACTGTATAGTCATGATGAGAGCTTTTTAACAGATTGTGTGACATTTGAGTAGTAGAATTGTAATACAGTATACGTGGCCTACCACCCACACACTAGTACCTAGGAACAACATGAAAATAATCACCTCAAATTTTTCATAATTAAATGGACAGAAAAAAACAGGGGCAAAAAATGTAATAATCGTTATAATAACAACAAGGCTCAAAATCAATAACAGATATCTGTGTTTTGTAACAGATTTATTTTATTTATATTTCTACTAACAACAACAACAACATACATACCTGTAGGTAATTTTCTCATGGGGATGTGAATATTCTGGTGGTTGCCATGTCAATTGCATCCAAGTGGCACTGTGAGCAATAATAGCCAATGAATGTGGCGGTGAGGGAGCACCATAAATATGTTTTGGCTGTTGTTGATCAACTGGAAATAAAACAACAAATGACAATTTATAGATTTAATAATAATCAAATAACAATAATAACAGCAATAATAGAAAAAAAAATAAAAATAAAAACATGGTCCATATAAATAAAATTCTTTACAACAACAGCAACTATGAGAGAAAAAAATACAAAATTATTGGACAAATTAGTCAACCATCAACCATAAAATGTTAATGGTTGATCGAATCATGTATGTTGTAGGAATAAATTAGTGTATATTTGTATGTGTGAGTGTGTGTGTTTTTGTTTTAATGAGAGCACAAGTGTGTTTTTGTGGGCTTGAATGTGTGAGTTGGTGTCGGGAGACCTGTGTCTGATGATGATGTTTATGCTTATTTTTATACATTTGAAATGGACATGACTCATTTACTCAGGCGTATATTGAATGCTATACTTTCTCTGCATATAGTTTTAATTTTGCACATAGAAAAGTTCTCTCATTAAACATACTTTTCTCTAAAGAATGGTGTCTTCTTTGGTGTAAGTTTTTTTTTTAATGTTTCTTTAGAGACACTTTTATATTTAAAAAGAAACTTTTTTCCAAAGAAAAGTACTCTCATTGAATGAGCTTTCCTTTATAAAAAGTGAAGACAACTTTCTTTATAGAAAAGAGCTCTCTTTGGGGAAACTTTTCTCTATAATAAAAGACAAAAGTCACTTAAGAAATATGCTCAACTATTCTTTCCAGAACTGTGCTATCTTTAGAGGCACTTTTTTCTCCAAAAAAGTACTATCTTCAGAGATACTTTTCTCTCTAAACTCTTTAGAGACACATTTTCCCATAGAAAAGTTAATTCTTTAGAGATTTCAAATTAGGTATCTTTAGATACTTTTCTTTGCCGGACAGTCTTCTCTTTAAAGAAAACTGATCTCCCTCTAAATTACTTTTCTTCATAGAAATGTGCTTTCTTTAGAGACACCCTATTCTGTATAGAGACACTTTTTAGAGAAACTTTTCTTTATGGAAAAACGCTCCTTTAAGAAACTTTTTTCTTTATAGAAAAACGCTCTCTTTAGAAGCTTTTTTCTTTATAGAAAAACGTTTTCTTTAGAGACACTTTTCTTTAGAGAATAGTGGTCTCTTTAAACGTGCTTTTCTCGATATAAATAACATCTCTTTAAAGATAGTTTTCTTCATAGAAAGCTGCTCTTTTCTTAACAGAAAACTGCTCTCTTTAGGTACACTTATCTTTAGAGAAAAATTATCTCTCAAGAGACACTTCTTCCTAAAGAATTGCGCTCTCTTTAAACAAACCTCTCTTAATTAAAATAATATTTCTTTCAAAAAACTTTTCTTTATAGAAAAGCGTTCTTTATTCAGAGACTTTTCACCATAGAGACATACTCCCTTTAAAGATATTTTTCTCTATAAAAATGAGATCTCTTTAAAGATACTGATCTCCATAGGAAAGTGCTCTCGTTAGAGACAGCTTTCTTTAAAGAAAAGATCTCACTTTAAAGAATATTTTCTTTATAGGAAAGTTCTCTATTTACAAACATATTCTCTAAAGGAAATTGCTCTCCTTAAAGACACTTTTCTTTACTTAAATTTGATATCTTTAGTATAGCTTTTCACCATTGAAAAATAAATCTGTTTAGGAGTATTTGTCTCCATAGAAAAGTGATCTCTTTCAAAACATACCCTTCTCTAGAGAAATAAGTTTTCTTTGCAAAATGTTCATAGCAATTCTTGATTGCCTTCAAAAAACACCTCTAATGTTACTTGTTTTCTGTTTTCAATATATATATTTTTTTTGTAATTTTGTTTGGTTGCTATTGACTTGTAATTAACAATTTGTCAATGTTTTAGTTACGTTGAAATTTTATTTTTAGTAGATAAATTTATATGCCCGTACAGCGGCATATAAAGTGTGCGTCATATTGTATGATTTTTTTGCAATAAAAAGCAACAAAAATATAAAAATTTTTTAATTTCAGTTTTTACCTTTTTCAGTATTTCCATCACTATTGCCGTTGCTGCTGTTGTTAATTTCAGTTGTATTGATCAACAACATGGATGATGGCAATGATGTGCCAAATTTACCGCGTGTCAATACCATGATGCGATACAAGGCATGTGGCTCCAAATTTATCAAATCAATCGATGTTTCATTTGTTATTAATTCCTAAAAGAGAAATAAAAAACAGAAGAAGAAAATGTTTAATGTGAGTTTTAAAGCTTTAAGAAAGAAGTGATATAACAATACATATGTGATATTTATCAAATTTTAAAATTTGTACATTTTTCTAAAATTTTTTAAAAATAATTTTTCTTAGAAAAGTTTATTTTCGATTAGGTTTTTCCAAAAGTCTTTTATGTTGTCTATTTAAGGTTTTTTGTTGTGTGGCAATATCTGTTATAGTTTTAAAGATATAACGTTTTAAAGTACTAAAGTCAATAATTAATATTAGTCATACGTACCGTAGTCTTTATTTGAAATAAAAATGTTTTAATACATAACTTTGGCAATTGGCAAGGGATTTATATGAAAATTTTAGCAAATATTAAGAACTATAACAGCTTTTATTATAGCAATTAATAGAACTTGTGTATCTGTACTACAGAGCGAGTGAAAGAGTGGCAAACTACCCCTTGCAAATTTCAATAAATTATTTTTTTTTAAACATTTAAGGTTTTTGTTTGCAGTTTAGCGAATATTTTCCTGGACTTAATTTTTAAACAAAAATAATTTCATACAATAAAATATTTTACCATTAAAACCATGCTCATTGTAGTTGTTGTTTATTTAATACATTTTAAGTACATTTGAGTAATTGCAATGTAACACTCAGTAATTTGTGGTGTTTTTTGCAGCGTAAATTGTCAGTGTCACTTGTAGTTTTGTAAATTTTTCTGGTCTGGTCTGTTTTGGTTGATTGTCACAGTTTTTTCATACGACACTAGCATCTAACTCTTCCCCCATCCCCCTTTAGTTATAATCCAAGTCCACATGTGTTACATATGTGTATAAATATGTGAATAGTATTTAAATCTGTTTGGTAACTCTTTAAGCTCGTTTAAGAGTATTATGTTGTCGGTTGTTGTTTTGTTGCAGCTACATTGTCAATATTGTTCAAATAAATGTTGTTAAAATTTTTAACATTATTTTTAGGAGTATAAACGTATAAACACCAGATTTCTTTTTGCGTTAAACTTTTATAGGATTTTAGCGATTTATTTTAAAGGATTTTTTTTCCACATTTTATTTTTGCAAAGTGTTCAATGCGCGCAAAAACCAATGATAAAACCATTTACCATAACATGTTAAAATAAATATACGAGCATTATAAATATTGGGCAGCTTCAGTATGGTTTTATTGGAGGAAAAATTTTACATGTTCAATTTTTACACGGCATTAATTGTTTATTTTACTGACTGTAAAAATGCGTTTCGCATTGTGCAAAAAAATCAGAATTACTTCATTTTTAATATTTTTTATTTCATTGTATTTTGTAGTTTTATTTGTTTTTTAAATTGCTTAAAACTACATTTTAACAGGATATTTAGACATGTTTCGTTGGTGGTTACAATTTTACAACAAATTTTGTATTTTTTCTTTTAATTTAATATTAAATTTAAAAAATTTCATTACACATGTATATTAATCATACGTCCTGTAGACTCCACATTTAAGAGAACTGAACTAGAACTGAACTAGAACTGAACTAGACTAGAACTGAACTAGAACTGAACTAGAACTGAACTAGAACTGAACTAGAACTGAACTAGAACTGAACTAGAACTGAACTAGAACTGAACTAGAACTGAACTAGAACTGAACTAGAACTGAACTAGAACTGAACTAGAACTGAACTAGAACTGAACTAGAACTGAACTAGAACTGAACTAGAACTGAACTAGAACTGAACTAGAACTGAACTAGAACTGAACTAGAACTGAACTAGAACTGAACTAGAACTGAACTAGAACTGAACTAGAACTGAACTAGAACTGAACTAGAACTGAACTAGAACTGAACTAGAACTGAACTAGAACTGAACTAGAACTGAACTAGAACTGAACTAGAACTGAACTAGAACTGAACTAGAACTGAACTAGAACTGAACTAGAACTGAACTAGAACTGAACTAGAACTGAACTAGAACTGAACTAGAACTGAACTAGAACTGAACTAGAACTGAACTAGAACTGAACTAGAACTGAACTAGAACTGAACTAGAACTGAACTAGAACTGAACTAGAACTGAACTAGAACTGAACTAGAACTGAACTAGAACTGAACTAGAACTGAACTAGAACTGAACTACAACTGAACTACAACTGAACTACAACTGAACTACAACTGAACTAGAACTGAACTAGAACTGAACTAGAATGAACTAGAACTGAACTAGAACTGAACTAGAACTGAACTAGAACTGAACTAGAACTGAACTAGAACTGAACTAGAACTGAACTAGAACTGAACTAGAACTGAACTAGAACTGAACTAGAACTGAACTAGAACTGAACTGGAAGTGAACCTATAAGTTTAAGCATGAAAGCTTGTTAAGCCAACTGTACGTATAATTAATATTGATTATGAGGTATGTATGTAATTCAATTTAAATTGTTAGGACTTTTTATACAGAAAAGATTTTGGTATTAAGTAAGTAAATATTTTGATTTTAAATGCTCTATATTTTCTGTAGTTTATATAAATTGATAATTTAATCATTTATTTGAATTCATTTCATATACAGTTCCCTTTTATATTCTAGTTATTCCTAAAAAAATTCTGTTGCCTCATGTCCAATTTACTTGTTTGCTTAAATTATTTATTTGTTTTTTTTTTTTTTTTTGTACTTTTTACTTTTTAGATATATATTTTTTTACTGCTGCGTTAAAACCAATTTCGTTGGCAAAATACTAAACAAATATGAGAAAAATTTAGTTGGAAATAAAAGTTTGAAATATTTTAACGCGTTTTTTATATAGAAATTTTTTTTAACTACAACAAAATACTAAGCCGAAAAATACAAACAATAAACAACAAAAGCTCATGCTATGTGTATAGATACATAAGTACTCACATACGTACATATGTATGTATGGTTATATGTTGACTTAAATAAATATTTCTAAGTATTTAGAGAGATGCACGTTGTGCAGTTTAAAGTCTTAAAATTCATGTTTGATAAAAGTATGTAAGTCAATGGCACTTGGTCAACGAGTTTAACGTAAATGGTTTTTTTTTCGTTGCATGTTGATTTTTCAGATTTTTTGTATTTGATTTTTTTATGACTTTAGTTTGGTATTGTATATTTCAGTTTTTAGCAGTAGCGTTTATGATTTTATCTGCTTTTTTTTTAGATATTTTTCTGTTTATACTTTTTTTGTGTAGTAAAGAGGAATTTGTATTGGTATGTAGTTTTGTATTACGTATTGTTTTATTATTTTTTTTTTCTACAAAGTTGCCAACGAACCAACATATATGGCGTTTTTTTATATATTTTTTATTCGTTTCTATAACATCCACTAGTATTTTTTATTTATTCATTTTGTGTAACAAGAGTTAAATCTGTATGACTAGTTAGTGTTTGTAAATCACTGGATTTTATTGGATTTATATTGTGTGAATTGTAGTACCAACTAGAGTAAAAAAAAAGTACGCATTACATTGTCCTTGCTTTAGTTGTATATATTAAAAGGGGAGTATGTAACAAACACATATTTACTCATGTGCATGTATTTGTTTATAATGGCTTTACTGGTAAAGATCATGATTTATATTAATTTCAATTTGGTTTAATACACCAATAACAAATTACATTGAAATAGCCAAACCAAAGGGGACCAGAGAGTAAACAATATATAAATACAATATTTATATAGATGTCAAGGCATTTAATGTAGAAGACTGGCTATTTGCCATAGAAATAAACTTAAATGTTATTGAAAGTAAAATATGTCAGTTTAAGCAAATTAATTGAGGGAAATTTTTCTATAAATCTAAAGGTTTGCAGTAGTATAAATAGCACCTATATTAAGGCACATATTTGTTATAAATTTCCACATTTTTAAAGATTTTCCTCAAAAAATGTCTTAACTGTAATTCTTCTTTGGAAATTTTACTATGATTTAGCTCTCTTACAAGATTTTATAGCAAAATTTTTCCATTAGACGCTTTTATTTCAAAATTTTTAGAAAATTTTTCACAAACTTGAACATTTCTTCTTCAAATATAACAAAAAATCTGTTAGTTACTTTAGTTATATTCAAATATTTACTAATTATCTAATAGTGTGTTATTTTAGCTTTATTTTACAGTTTATTTTACAACAAAATCTTTAATCAACAAAAAGTTATAAAGATTTTACATTCAATACCCTCAAATTAATATTAATCATACGCATAGATGTGCTTAAGATTAAGAAAAATGTTTTTTAGTTAATATTCAACAAAATCCTAAATTAACGAATTCAAAATTCTAATCGCATTTAGAAAAGAAACCATACTTTCATCGTCAAATTTAAAAATATTTCGAAATATAAAACTTTATGAGCTACAGTGGGCCCAATTGCACTATCAAAGTTAAAAGTAGATGAATACTAAATATTTTCTACTTTTTCTGAGGTTTCATTATGATTTATATAAAGCAAAGGATCAACTAAAGTGCGGACTTAAACTCATTACAGTTCAGCTTTAATTCGAAATTTTAGAAAATTTCTCTTATGATCTGTTTAATTAGATATATAGAAAAATTGACGAAAATTATCTTATAATTATTTAGATAATAACTTGATATCTTAAGATTATTTTACATTTTATTTTACAACAAAATCTTTTATCAATAAAAAGTTATAAAGATTTTAACACATTTGCCTCCTAATTAATGTTACTCATACGTACTGACGACCTTGTTATGAAATCAAAGTTTATTAAAGTATAATTCCCAGAAACATTAACAAAATGGTATAAAATTTTAACCGAAATTAGCTGAATGTCTAAGCTGCCTTCATGGTATTACAAAGACGTATCCAACATTAATACTGATTGCATCACAATGGGTTAAATTTCAGTATTAAAGCCTAAATAATATATTTAAAATTTGTAATAACTTACACCTTCGTGAGAAGGGTATAGACAAGTTTGTTATTCCACTTGCAATTTATAAAATATAA